TATTTCGTCGTATCGAGCGCGACTTACTTGAGTTAGTGCTACTCCCGGCTTCCGTATCGTCTCACCCTCCCTCCTTGTGCTCTGCGACTTCAAGTAACTGCGCCACCTGGCGTTTAAATGCCTGTATTACAAGTCCAAATGAAATGAATGCAATAATTTACATCGAACCTTAATTGTGTACTGTACCAACCTTCGGCGGGCCGGATTAAAAAGACCAACGGGCCGGATCCGGCCCGCGGGCCGTAGTTTGCCCATGTCTGGTGTAGCCTCACCTCTTACCCAAGTCAGCCAGGACTGGCTCCAGCTCAGTGTTACAGAAAATGGATGCCGTTCCTCTTCTTCGGGGGACGAGGGGGAGGGTCGATCTTTCAAGGATTGACGACGTGGACGGAAAGACTTGAGAAATATTCTCTCCTTCCCGGCGCGCTCGTAAAGTGCGACGGTTTACGAGCGTGCCGAACGATTGACTGTGGCACAGTGCACGATGGGGAAAAAGGCCACATCGGCAAAGCCCTTCAAGATTCTTTGGGAGGGTTTTTAAATTCTTTTTTTTTTTCTCTTAAATGGTTGTTAGTTACTGGAGCGTTTTGAAGCTGAAGTTGACTTTGCCAGGTAAACAAACTTCAACACTTGCCGGTATGTAATTAGCTTTGGTCTGCGAAATGGATGACATCCCGCAGCACAATGCTATTAATTATCTGTTATCAGGTCGGTGGATTAATTAGCACGCTGGCTAGATAGGTTTTGCCTGGAGATGGCTGGCATTCGTCATGATTTAAAGAAAAAAAAAAGCTAAATTAGGAGTGGAGGTAATTAGAAAGCCAGAATCGCCATGGTGAAAACACACGGACGTCAAGGTTGTGGAGTTTGGGAGCAGCTGCAGCTTGACAAAAGTGGCTTTAAAGCACGAATGGGAAACACTAACTAACCCTGACCTGGCTGTAAATCTGAATCATAATAATAAAAAAAAAACCTGACGTCGGCTTGAAATCTAAATTTGAAATGAGGTTTCAAATCCTAATATTGAAATGTAGCCCTGTCGGGGGATCCAAACTTTCAACTCTGACCAGGGCTTAGAAACTTCACACCAGGCTTCCAAACACTTAGAACCCTAACTTTGACCTCCATTTGAAGCCTTAACACGGCCAAGAAAGCTTCCCTCGGCTTCTCCTCTGTTGCATCCATTCAGCCTATTGCCGCCATACTGTTAATAATTCTCCTCCTGTATTAATGAACCTGTCCTTGCCGAGGAGAGAACAATGTGAAGACAGGGCAGCTGCGAGTGTAATCAAAGGTCTGCTCTATTTACCCAGAAATAGGGTCAGGCGTTCTCCCTATGGCGCGACCTAAAAAAGACTCCAGCTGCACTGTAGCGACACACATGGGACCTCGTCACACCGAAGAACAAAGTGAGAGCCCCGAGTGACAGTAAGCCACAAGATGGTGCCAAAGCGCCACTTTTATCCAAATAAAGCTGTTCGAATCTAATTTACGAGAGCGCAGACCTCCACCGAGGCCAAACAACATTGTCTGAAAACGGTTGGAAGCCATTCAACAAAGTGAGAGCCAGTGATGAAAAGCCACAGTTTGCTTATCAGCATGCAGAGCAGGCCAAGGTGGGGCGCGCACACGCCTTATCATCCGGGGGTGGGGGGTCTGACCCTGGTGGCGCAGCAGTCACCTTATCACAGGTGAGAATCCACCTTGGGGTGCCGACATGCATTAATGCGAGGCCTTTTAACCTGCCTGACACCAGAGATCAACGTGCGGATTTCAACTTTTATTTATGGGGGGCAGCCGAGAAAATGTTAAGCAACGGGGGGGGGCTTTCAGTTTGAGATAAGACGGCGAGCACAAGGGAGAGCTGATGTGGAACTGTATTCCACGCGGGGAGATTTGTTGAGCCGAGGAGGCGCGATAACTCGAGCTGAACTGTTGGCTTGCGGACAACAGACATCGTTTTTACACCTTTTCGTATCCCCCCCCACCCCCCCCCCCCCCGTTGATTCATAAATTTGGCTAGGGTTGTAAATTAGGGTTTCAAGACAGTTTAAAGTTAGCAAATTAGGGCTTTAAGCAGGCCTGTGCTTTCAAATTAGTGTTATGGTTTCAAATTAGGGTCTTCAGCCAGTGATAGGGTTTCAAGCTTGATAACTTGATAAGCTGTCCACTGTAGTAACCGCTTTCCCTCAAAGGGTTGAAGTTTTAAATTCAGGTCTTCAGACAGGTTACGGTTTTAAATTGGGGGTTCAAACCTGACCTTTGTCTTCATATTGTATGTGAAACATGACACTGATTGCTGATGTGTATCCCCACCTGTCCCCTCCTCGCTTGTGTCTCTTGAAGATCTTCATTTTCGAGAACAACATCTACTATCGCTCGACGGTGGAGAGCCGCTCCATTCGTCTGGTGTCCTCGGGCAAGGAGGGCGTCATCTTCAACGGCCTCAGCGATTGGCTGTATGAAGGTAAGGTGTTTATTGCCTACAACACCGAGTTTGGTCACGTGACTTTAGCAATGCGAGCCCGAGGGCACTTTGACGTCCATTGTCGTCAACGGCAGGGGACGGTGCTTCATAAAATGTCCGCCTCTTTAGGCGGCTGAAAACAATTTTGTTTCTTTCGAATTTTAGTGCGAAGAACATTTTGAAGTAGACTTCTACTTCCTACCACTGGCAACAACGGTACGTGATCAAGAAAGTAGATGAGTGAGAGAAGCAAAAAGGGGCCAGGTTCCGCGTTAGCATCCCGCTAATGAATTTGTATGGGCGGCCTTGGAGTGCACGCTCTGCTCCAGTGGAGCAGACAGGTTTAATATCGCAGTCGCGTGGCAAACGGTGAGATAGAAGATGGAGACAAACTAGTGCACACTGTACAACATGTTGTAAGTCGTGAAGCAAAAGCTACGGTGTCGGTGGCGTAATGTAATTTAATGCCACCATGCAAAGGTTACCCACCGCGCCAGGATTTAGCCCGCTTTTAATTCCGTGTCGAAAGCGCCTCGTAGTTCGTTCTCCGGGCTGACATTTAAAAGGAAGCGAGTGCGTGCTTTTGGGGCACGGTTCATTCGCTGCTGTTTAAGCCTCAAACTGTGCCGCGGTTGCTCAGCAGCTGCCTCGTGTTTATCGCTTGCTTACTCTGAGGGATGGAAGAGAATACAATGGCAGTGTTTCGATTTCAGGGAATTCATGCGCTGAATGTTTGTTTATTCCGCTCAATTTGACCATTATGTGGCTGAAAGGTGTGAATTAGACGACAAAAAACAAGAACTACAGTTTATTGGGCTGCTCCTCTTAACTATGTGGAGTCCCGCAGAGGTTCTCTCCTAGGTCCATTCATGTCACATGAATCCTGCTGAGTGTATCTTGTGTTTAGAGTTTCAACGTGGAGTTTCAAAAGATGCCATAGGCGTTCAACTTGAGGTATCAAACCATTTGCTACTGTTAACTTGAGTGAGGTTCAAGTTAACAGTTTCAAATTGGGGTTTTGAGACTGAGTCAAGGTTTCAAAGTAGGATTTTAATCGCGGGTTTGGGATCCTCACACATGAACCATGTTGTAATTGTGCTTTCAAGTATCTGTTAGTAGTAATTTGTAGTACTTGTACGCTTAAACTGTTCTGTTGTCAGGCTAATCGCCCACGTTTCCCCAAGACAGAATTGCTTGACATCTGTATTGTTAGCATAACCCCTGAATGCGAATGGTTCTCAGAAAGATCCCTGGGGCACGTCAAAGAGCTATTTTGAACCTGACTCACATAATGCAATCAATGCAAGCCATCACCTCCTTTTATCCTTGCATCGCTGAGCCAGACCCTTTTCCCAAAGCTCGACCGTTGTGAATGGGAGGCAATCGAAAGGCGATGTCATTTATTAAAACTGAAGACTCCCCGTTCAGTATTCTCACCTGAAAAACTGTTTAGTGATGCTCGCTTTGAAATGGGAATCAGCTCGGGCCATTTGTGTATTCACACTCGGCCGCCGCTGATTTTCCTCCCAATGACTCAGACTCTTCCGGGGGGCCAAGGTCAAGCGGAGGCTCAGGCCGCCGCCGAGGCGAAATGAAGCTTTAAGCCGCGTCTGCCTATCACCGAGCGTCAGATTTGGCGCGAAAGGGGCGGGTGAAAAAGTAGGCGAATAATCTCCCGGCCTTGAATATCCTCTGGCTCTTGCATCGCTGCCTTCATCTTCCGCATGTGTGTGGAGGGTGGAGACTGCAAATATGAAAATCATATTGAAAGAGTTGTGTGCAACTGACACACAGTGTCTTGGGGGCTTCTGCGATTTGAATTACATATATAAAAATGTGTGTGTGTGTGTGTGTGTGTGTGTGTATATTATATACACAGTATATATGTCATCAGATTCTGCTAGGGCCTGATAAACGCGAAGAAACACCCGCCGCGACTTTGATTTGAGTCCCTTTTGCCTCGCAGGTATTTGTGTTCCTGCGGGCGGCTTCCAAGTAGTAAAGATATCAACTTCAGATTTCCTCCCTTTGAAGTGGGGCGGCAGGCATTTTTAATAAATTGACACGGAAACACAATCAAGAGTGCACCGCCACCGCCGTCGTATCAACTCCTAATCCCACAAAAGCATCTCTAATGAGATTTTCTAACGCTGCAGTCGAGGCGCAAGGGAGCGGCGCTCTATTCAAATCAATTGTTGGCCGGCTACATCACAAACAAAAGACGCCCACTCAATGGAGCGCCGGTGGGAGGGCCGGGTTTGAAAACAGACAGCCGTCCAAGGTCAATGCTTATGTGAAGTCAAGAAAAAAAACTCATAATAATCACGAAAGATAAACAGTATATGGAGAAAATCAAAATGATGATGATGATGATGATGGTGGTGGTGGTGGTGATGATAATACTGCTCAACAGCCAATTTTAATTAGAGATGGCTTTTCGTGTCCCAAAACATATTTTGGAGGCTAAGTTCAGCATTTCCAAAATGTCTTTTTTTTTTTTTTTCTGGCATGTCAGATCGTTGATTCTATAAATAATTAAAATGTGTTCCATGTGCATGTAAAATGTATCATTTTACAAATATACATTATTTCTGCTTATCTACACTAAATGGATGGATTTGAATATTCACCAAAATGTATCAAATGTTTTCAGTCTGTATTGTCTTTCACAAAATGGGACTCTTGATCACGTAAATCCTCAAAGAATGAAAAGTCCTCTTCCGACCGCTGCGGCACTCGAGTCGATTCTTTGGTGAGCCGAAAAGGCAGAGGAGAGTTTCTCCGTTGCTTCTGAAGGTTTCAATGTTATTTATGAAGTAGAAAAAGGGATTGCAAATTAAACCAGCTGCTGTAATTACGCTAGCTTTCCTCCGCTTAATGTCCTTATTATCTCAAGACGTTACTCTTAAAAAAAACAAAACCAAAACAAAAATTACAAAATGTCCAACATGTGCCAGCGCTGCCCTCTGCTGAACACAACAAGCAAATTTTTCCCCTCATTGGAATGCACAATAGCGCCGGCAGCTAATTGCCCGAAATGAGTCCAGTGGCGTTCGGGGCAATGATTATTGGACGTTTGCCCGAATGCGTTCGCCAGCCGGCATTTGTTATGCGGCGGCGGACGATCACCTTGAAGGCAAAGAGGCCCCATTAGCACTCGTCAGGGTCCGGCCTCTCGGTGCTGAAGGGTCCTCGAGCCAAAACGTCAAATCGGCCGTGAGGAGCAGTCGTGCCGCTTGTGCTTTCAAGACACCGTCGAGGCCACACGTGGCCAAGAACATTCTTGAAAAGAGCCAATTAGCCCAGGGTGACTCTTTGCACTTGTTGGTCGGGAGTGCAAAGCCATGTGGAGACTTGAAGCCGTGACGTGAAAGACACAAAATGAGGATGACTGCGTGCAGCTACACGAATGGACAGTTACATAGAAGTCAATCACAACAAATGTTATCTTGTATACTGTCTACGTGGATGTCAGTGGCAAACTATGGATACATAGATTTTTTGCGGCTTCACTGCACTGCAGTTGTTTTTTTTTTTTTTTTTTGTTTTGGTTTTTGGTAACTTCAATCATGGGCACGAGATTTCATTGTGTGTATTGCTGACTCGCATCGCAATAAACAGGAGCTTCAAAGAAAGAGTGCTGTCAAAACAGAAAATGTCTAAAGTTTGGGATTATTTCACACTTAATGAACTCTTTCATTCCACAAGACGTACTTGTACGTCTTTTTAAAATTGGGCCCCGCCTACCAAGGACGTACTTGTAGTCTAAGCCTTTTTTTTTTTTTTTTGCGTCATAGATAGGAGTTGCTGATGCAATCTGTGAATGAGAATAAGCCATTTGCATTGTAAATCATGTAAAAAAGTGACCAGTAGGTGGCAGTGGTGCATCACGTGCTTGAAATGCATGCTTTTACAAAAAGCTCTTTTTCTCTGTTTTTTTTGCCCAGGAATCGCCATTTTCATGAAACGTAGCCATTTTGTAATGCCGATTGCTGAAGAATGGAAAAAGATGTTTTTTGTTTTTTTTTTTTACCCTACAGTGGACAGCGTATTATCTTTCTTACAGGGTGCATGAAAGGCTTCTTAAACTTACAAAAGCAAATTGATTCATTGTTGCCCAGGGCATAGAAGGAGCGACCGCTCAATCCTGGAGGGCAAATTAAAAAAAAAACAAAAAAACAAATATGACACGTTGCCAGTTTAAGTCAAGCACTTGGATGCCCGTAGCGTATTTGCATGCAAGTCAAACAAATATGCGTCCAGAGGGGCTTTGCTGCTGATGAAGTCTTTCCAGCAGGGTGCACACTTGATGAAAATGCTAATGTGGGAAAGTGTGACATAGATATTGGCGCACTTGGATTTCAACTATTGATATTCATGTTTAAACTTGTTAAACGGCATGTTTGTTCAACCGTTTATCTTAGGGCACAAGCCATTTTCTACACTTTAGACTGGTCAAGCTAACATCCAGACATGTGGACTAACCAAATTGATATGGGAGTTTTCAGCCCTGACGCTAGCCATATGTCAGCATTAGGCTAGCAAAATTTAAGGCTAACTTGTTTGAATTTGTCGCATGTAACTGTCTTTTGTTTGATGTTTAGTTTGATAGTAAGTTCAATGCTACAGCCCTTTCCTACTCCCTCACTTGAGGTACATTTAAGGCTTGGTGGGAAACAACAAGGAATGTATTTGTAATTATAGGCTGTCACTTGTTAGCTGTCAGACAACAAGAGCGTTAGCATGTTAGCATGCAGCCACGTCATTCAAAGGCCTTCTCGTTGGCTCCCTTCACATGTTAATTTACGCTGTTTTTTTTTTTTGTTTTTTTTTCCATCTCATTTCAGAGGAGATTTTCCATTCCCACGTTGCCCACTGGTGGTCTCCGGATGGCGCTAGGTTGGCATACGCCACCATCAACGACACCCTGGTGCCCAAAATGGAGCTGCCCATGTTCACCGGCATGCCCTACCCGACGGGCAAGGAGTACCACTACCCCAAGGTTGACTTCTTTTATTTCACGCAAATGGTGTTTGTTCGGTGATTCTCAACGTTTTTCGATGCGAAGGAATCGTCCGTCTGAGCATAGTTCAGTTCTAGTTAACATTTTGGTTGTGCGAATTTACCGTCGAAGACAGGAGTGGCAAACTTATTTTTGTCGTGGGCCACATTTTAGTTACCGTTTCCTTTGGAGGGCTGTGATGACTGAAACTAAAGAAAGAATATAGTTTTATTCAACTATTGTTTAAGTAACTGTTATGAGAGGTTTGGTCACAAGAAAATGTTTCCAATACGTCACTGATTTATTAGATATGAACATTTGAAATTTTGGTCCGCATTTTAGCAAGTATCATGGAAGTTGTCATCTTTGATTTGCATTCGCGGGCCACTTAAAATGATGCGGCGGGCCACGTCTGGCCCCCGGGCCTTGAGTTTGACACGTCTAAGAAGTCATGTTATATTTGGCTCAAATTCATTTGGCTGCGCGCAGGCGGGCGAGGAGAACCCGGTGATCACGTTATACGTGGTCAACCTGAACGGGCCTCTTCACACTATCGAGATGAGGCGACCCGATGACGCCAGAATGAGGTGCGAAATCCCAAACCAGCTGTGTAATGCTGCCGTTGTTTTTTTTTTTTTTTTTCTCTCCATACTATTCATCACGTCACTCGTGTGTTGACGGTGTGGGTTTCAGTGAGTTCTACGTGACCATGGTGAAATGGGCCACCACCACTAAACTGGCCGTCAACTGGCTCAACCGAGCCCAGAACATCTCCATGCTGACGCTTTGTCAGGCCACAACGGGGGTCTGCACCAAGGTCAGCCTCTGTGTGTGTGTGTGTGTGTGTGTGTGTGTGTGTGTGTGTGTGTGTGTGGGGGGGGGGGGGGGGGGGGGGGGTGCTGCTGCTCGACAATTCTAAAAACGTCCTCTTGCAGAAACACGAGGATGAAAGTGAAGGATGGCTTTACAGGCAGGTGAGAACATCGGCCGAAGGAGTCGCGTGTAAAAGAGCTCCAGCGGATTGACTTGAGGGTTCGCTCGTCTTTGTAGAACGAGAAGCCTCTGTTTTCCAAAGATGGTCTCAAGCTGTTTTTCACGAGGGCCATCCCGCAAGGCGGCCGGGGAAAGTTCTTCCACATTTCCATGGCCATCTCGCAGGTATGACTCGCTGCCTCCCGCGGAGGACGTTATAGACGAATGGACACGAACGGGTCAGAGTCTCTGATGCACCGAATCGTGACTATTTCCTGGTTGTCGAGCTCCTGATTGAAAGCTTTGTTGTTGTTTAATATCACTTGCGCAGCCAAACAGCAGTACAGACACCCTGCAGTCCATCACGTCCGGAGACTGGGACGTCACCGAGGTCCTGGCCTATAACGAGGAAAGCCAGCTCATGTGAGTCCACGCGACCAACGCGTTTGTTGGGACCAGAGCACGGGGTTAGAAAATGTAGAAAAGTTTTCCCGAAATGTGTCAGCAAAGCTCCGACGAATACGTCTCAGGGACCCTTGCAGGAAATGAAACGGGAAGTCAGCCATTTTGGTTTGAAGAATTCCGAGACAAACTCCTCCAAGGGAATATGGCCAAATGACCACCAATTCATCATTTTGAGAACAATATCATTCTGATAAGTGGTGATGTCTAAAATTTGAGTGAATGGCGACCTTTTTTTTCTTTTCTCTTTTCTCCCCATTCAAGCTACTTCCTGAGTACAGAAGACGGCCCAAAGCGTCGTCATCTCTACAGGTGCCACTTGAAATTTTGAGATATGACAACTTTGCTTGATCAAGCTTGACTTATTTTTTTTATTTTTATTTTTTTTGTCGTTTGTCTCCTCAGCGCCCACACGTTCGGCTCATTCAACCGCCGCTGCCTCTCGTGCGGCCTGGCCGACACTTGCGGCTACGTCTCCGGCTCCTTCTGCCACAATATGAGCTACTTCCTGCTCCACTGCCAAGGTGACACTCTGCTCGCGTTGCTCACCTCGTAGCCGCATACATCCATACATCGACATACAATATGTGCAATTCCGGCCGATGCGTGATAGGGGGAGAGCATGAAATCCCATCGCGGCTCGGCTCCCATTTGTCACATGGGCTCCCGCTCGCGCCGGGGCGGGGGGGGAAATGAGATTCCTTTCCTTCACCTCGCCGGGGTAACAAAAGGTCCACGCCGACCCGCTCCCGGTGGGCCGCTTTGTAAAAATGATTTGATAAAGTCACGGCATCATCATGGCCGCCGTGCGGAGGACAAAGCCGGAGTGGAAAAGTGACCCGTGCTCCCAATTTTGCTAAGAGCATCGCTCCATTGATTTGTTTTGCTGTTTTCAAGACGGACATCTTGTCTTCCTACTTTCCTAAATGGGATGAAGTTTGTTGTCTTTGGAATCTTCTTGTTCACGATTCGTCCGAAAATGACTTATGAGCACTCTTATGTCTCAAATCTTGTTGTGATGCTTTCTTTAGGACCGGATGTGCCGTTTTTCTCCATCTACAAGACGCAGGTGGACGAAGAAAACGTCGACGACGATGCAGAGTTGGGGGACAGAGAGAGTGAGTAAGGCCGAAAACGTAAGACAACGTCGAACCGGAGGTCACCATTTTGCTTCACATTTGCGATGAGAAGGAAAGAAAATATACCGCGTAACAGTGTTTGTTACTTGAGGCGCATATTCCAAGCAAAATCTGACTAGCACAATAATGACATTAACAACGACCTTCCGCGAGTGGATGTTTGTGCTGCTTTTGTGGTAATCTGATTACTCCTCTCCAAGGATGTGTTTGGATTCAATTACCGGCGTGCGCCGACGCCATCAGCACATTGTAATCGCGTTGTTGGGGGAAGCGCGTGACACGTGTCTCGCTCTTTGGCTGCTCGAATACACGTCCCCGCATGTTTGCATCACATTTGCACCTGATTTGTTTTCACATTGTCGCCTTGCGCCAGAACAAATTTGAACGCTTCTTGTGTTTTGTGGCGCGCAGGTATGGCGGAAGTGCGCAAACTGGAGAGCAACGAGGTGCTGAGGGCGACGCTGGCCAACATGCAGATGCCCATGGTGGAGTATCAGGAGATTAGCATCGATGACTACAGTACGTCATGTTGGCCTTTGAAGCCGGACGGAGCTCACAGTCAACAGGAACAGGCGCGCGTGTCAGATCTGTGTTGGGCGACTTGATATATTTGGGTGTGTTCCTCTCAATCTTGCCTTTTCAGCTTTATCGATGCAGATCCTCAAACCTGCAGGCTTCGTGCAGTCGGCGCACTATCCTCTCCTGCTGCTCATGTAAGTGATGCATGCGCAGGCACACACAACACTTTGTTGGAGGAAAAAAAAATACAAACGCACTCATAATAGAATTTAATTGATGTATTCAGTGAAAGTGTGTCTTCATTTTAGCCGTTCAGTGTCACTTTGCGTAATTAGCAATGAGGCGCCACATTTCCAGCCCGCCGTGTTTATTTGTGCTGCTCCTGCGTGCAGCGACAGCACCCCCGGTGGCCAGAGCGTGTCGGAGCGCTTCCATCTCGACTGGGCCACGGTGCTGGTGAGCAGCTTCGGGGCGGTGGCGGCGCGCTGCGACGGGCGCGGCGGCGGCTTCCGGGGCACCAACCTGCTGCAGCGCATCCAGAAGCGGCCCGGCGTCCTGGAGGAGCTCGACCAGCGCGAGGCCATCAAGTAGGTGCCGCCGGCACTGCTTTAAAGGCGCGCCGACACTCGGCTTGATGACGTTCGCCGCGTTTGTCGTAGCGTCATCCTGGGGGAGCCGTACATCGACAAGACCCGAGTGGGAGTCTTCGGAAAGGTAACGAACAAACCATTGTTTCCATTTTAAATGAGGAGTCGAGTAAAAAAAAAAAAAAAAAAAAAGTCTTTCTGATTCGTATTGTGTTGGAGGATGATGAACAAAATTCCACCCAAGCTGTTTTCTGGATTTGGTCATGTGACTCAAGCATGCTGTGATGTCATTTTCAGGCAACAACAAGCGGGCAATACAAGACTAACAAATTACTGGAAACTTTTTTTTTTTTTTTTTACATTTTATATTTATCTTCACTTTTGGCAGTGCCAGACAGAAGAAAAATGTGCCGTGGCACATTTTGAAAATCGAAATTTCCTAATATTCATGTTGCCTCTGCGCTGTTTTCAGGAGTACGGCGGTTACGTGGCCAGCTTGTTGCTGAGCGCCGACCTCTCCCCTGCCAGATGTGGCGCCGTCCTCTCGCCCATCACAGACTTTGAATTATACGGTGAGGCTCCTTCTGCGAAACCCTACCCCTACTTGCAGATTGGGAGCATGGCGGCAACCCCGACTTGGAACCCTAACCATTGTTTGAAACACTAATTTGAAACCCCATCTTGAAACCCGAACCCTTTGTTTAAATTTCAAACACGAAACGTATTTGGAGATCGAAGCTTTGCTTGAAGCCCTACACCACATGCTGATACCAAGCCTGTCTTCTTTGTTTCAAGCGTCCGCCTTTTCCGAGCGTTACCTGGGGAAGCCCAAACCTGATCCTCGGGCTTACGCGGTACTCGCTCCACATTCCCGCCGCTGAAGATTCTTGTCGTCTTTGCCTTTTCCTCCTTTTTTCACCTCGCGTCCTTTGGTATTTTGCTTCCCGCTCAGATGGCCAACCTGGCGCACCGAGCGGCTCAGTTCCTGGACAAGAAATTCCTCATCATCCATCCGACGGCAGACGGTAAGAAAGGGCTGCGCTGAGGACGCCGGACCGAGAGGCTGAATTTTCGCTTCTTTTGTCCTCTCGCAGAAAAAGTTCACTTCCAGCATTCGGCCAAACTTATTGCGCAGCTTATCCACGAGAAGGCCAACTACACCTTGCAGGTAACACCGTTGAAATGAAAACACCGAGTCATAGATTTGTCGTGTGGTCACTCGGTGGCAGGAGCAATTCTGTTGTGAACATGGTCCTTGTCAGATCTACCCAGACGAGGGCCACTTTATCCACAACGAGGCCACCCAGCAGCACCTCAGCCAATCGCTGGTCAACTTCTTCGAGGAGTGCTTCAGGCTACCTGAGCGACTTTTGGACGACGAGCTAGACGACGACGACGACGGCGAAGAGGAGGGTTAACCTGACCTGGTTTCGACCCCCAACCGCCCACCGCACCGCCTCGCACGCCCCGAAAAAAAAAAACGACTCGACTAGCTAGCTACCGCGCCCATCTTGGACCAAGCACATTTCCACGGTTTTATGCAACGTTCTCGTCTGCAGATTGGACTTCAGACTGACTCAAGAGCAGCTGAGGATCACCGCCATCTATCCTCTGTCATTTTGTCCCCGGAACCCCCAAATTGTCCCAAGATAGGCTGACACACTCTGGAATATTCCGCTGGACGAGCTCCCAAATGGACTTGACGCTTGATAAGGGGACGTTTAAAACCATACTGGCGGACTTGTATTATACTGAAAATCAGATACAACTGCATTTTATGGGACTTGCAATTTTCTAAAGTGATGAACTTTTCATGTTGAACTGTTTATCTTTTTTTTTGTCGACTTTTGTCAATGTAAATAATATAGCACAAACGTCCATGTGAGTATGAAAAGATGCATAGAATGTTCATGTTTTCACCATGTAGTCCAAGAAATGTTTGGAAAAGAGGACAATTTTTTTTTTTTGAACAAATTTCCTGACTTTTGTCACCTGACTGCCTTATTTTGTCAAAAAAAATAACATCACAGGAACAGTGTGCACGAAAATAGTCAACTATTAGCCGAGCTTTAGTGTAAAGACCAAAGCTACGCTCGTTCGTGGGGGGCTTGGAGGGAAATATAGTGAGCACAGCTAGCCTTTAAAGCTAACACGGATGTGTCAAAATTAACAAAATAATTTACCAACAAATGGAAATAACCACAATGACACCATTTTCAGTCCTAACAGGAAGTGAATGTGCGAACGAGCGAGTGCATTTCTGAAAGCTCTTTTGAATTCAAACCCGAAAAATGTTGCTGTATATGATATTTCTGGAATTGTTTCAACATGCCCCCCCCCCTTTATTGGCTACATGTCACATTAGCACAAGACTAGCCTGTACAGAGTCTGCATGGTTTGTTTAAAAAAAAGAAAAGAAAAAAAAACGGCTGAATTTATATTTGAAACAAATACACCAATGCTGATGTTAATGACATTGTTCAAAAGACCGTTCCGGCTGTTGCTCATCGAAGCGCGCGTGCGTGCATATGTGCGCGAGTGCAAAGTTGGGCACGCGGGGAATGCGGTGATGCTTATGTGTGCCCACGTGTATGATGTGGCTTTTTGCAGTAACACAGTAAAAAATTGGCTCTTACTCTCTGACTGGTTGGCCACCCCTGATCGAGAGTGTTCATGACCTGCATGTTTTTAATCCCCCTCCAAAAAGACAAACATGTATAGTAAGGCGTTTTTTGCCAAAAAAAACAAATGAAAAGGAAGGCGTTTTTAGCCGTCAAAAAAAAAACGCCTTACTATACATTGTCGTTTTTTTTCGGCGAAAAACACCTTAATATGCATGCCAAAACGCACTATCAAATGTATAGTAAGGCGTTTTTAGCTGGAAAAAAAATGACCATGTACAGTTAGGCGTTTTTGGCCCCAAAATACAACCATGTATACTAAGGCAAAACAATTTACGGGAATGCAACACAGGTTATAATGTAAGAGAAACATTTTAAGTCTGACTTCAAATAATTTAAGAAAAAGTGTTAAATCGATGTCATTGTTTTTATTTTGAAAAATGCCATTCACACGTGTTGTATTTGACTTCAAGGCGTAGTGGAGCGAATGGTGAAATAAATAATTTTCATTGTGTTCTTTTTTTTTCAAATACACACACACAAAAAAAACATGGATTGAACGCCATAGGATAGTAAGGTGTTTTTAGCCAGAAAAAAATGCCAAAGTATAGTAAGGCGTTTTTAGTTCGAAAAAAACTACATAGTATAGTAAGGCATTTTTGGCACGAAAAAAACGACATAGTATAGTAAAGCATTTTTGGCGAGAAAAAAACGACATAGTATACATTTTTGGCACGAAAAAAAGACAGTACAGTAAGGCGTTTTTAGCACGAAAAAAACGACATAGTGTCGTGAGGCATTTTTGGCACGAAAAATACGACAGTATAGTAAGGCGTTTTTAGCGAGAAAAAAACGACATAGTATAGTAAGGCGTTTTTAGCGAGAAAAAAACGACATAGTATAGTAAGGCGTTTTTAGCGAGAAAAAAACGACATAGTATAGTAAGGCGTTTTTAGCGAGAAAAAAACGACATAGTATAGTAAGGCGTTTTTAGCGAGAAAAAAACGACATAGTATAGTAAGGCGTTTTTAGCGAGAAAAAAA